AAATTAAAAAAATTCTGCTAGATAATATCAATTCTAATATATTATTTTGAAAGATATTCTAATTTTTCATAATACGATAATATAAGAAATATAGAAGGATAGAGTTGAGCTCTTGTCCGAAATAGCGGCAAATATTCATTTGGATATTCTTAATGAGAAATCCGACAAATAATTAATATTTGAGATATAAATATATATCGGGTCTAAAGATTCTGAAAGATTTTAGATCTCCGCCTCCGATCTAATATTCTCTCGAGCGTCGCGTAGATATTTAAAGAGAAGAAATAATTCGAAATCTTGAAAGATTTTTGGTCGCACGACGCCCAAATCCGATCCGATTTTTCTGTGTCATTTATCCCTCTGGAGATATCTATATATTAATTCAAATTCTGAAAGATCTTGATTCTCCGTGCCGGATCTATGCGCTCTATCGATTAACCGCGCAGATAATCAAAGAGGGATTAAGCATCCAGAAATTCGTTCCGGAATTTCCGCCAAATACGTTCAATCTATATATTCTGAAAGATATTGGCTCTCCGCCTCGAGGCTATACGTTTCCTGACTATTCTTATAGCTATTCAAAAAAAAATAAATCATATAGAAGATCATTCAGGAGGCACGTCGCATATTATCAAAAATCTCTGAGATTTCTTATCATACCGTCCAGATCAAAAATCTTGTTTAGAATCTTTAATTTTTCTGAAGGCTTCTAATTATTCCGAGAATTTAGAATTCCTATAAAATTCAGAAAGAATCGGAAAAATTAAGGCGTCCCATCTTGAAGATTATATCCGATATATCATTAAATTGAAGGATCGAGAATTCTTAATAAATGAGTTATGAAAAATGAATATCAATATGAAAATAGCGATTCCTATCAATCTATATGTATAATGAATTTATCTTTGAAAATTCAAATAGATATTAATGAATATTATATATCCGAATTCTATATTCGATGAATAATTTAGTTTAAGAATGAAAAAATAATTTAGAAAATATAATATTATAGAAGAATAATTTCGGATTCAAAGAAATATATAAATAATTTATGAATTTAATATCTCAATTCATAATAATCGAATATAATCAAATAAAGAAATATCAAAGAATAGAATCTAATAATCAGATATATTAGATATATTAGCAGGAATAATCAAATATTCTAATTATTTTCTTATTTATTCCTCTATTCCGCGATTCAGAGTCTATATCGTGATTTCGATCTATCAATAAAATAGAATATCTATAAAGATATAAAGAATCAGATGAGATTAATTCCACTTGCAAGAATGAATGGGATTTTGTCAGCTATAATATCTTGCTAGAATCACTCCCCGATAATTCCTTGATCCTCTTCCTGGAATGATACGATAAATGATATCATCAATCTTTCGAAACGATAATTGGTCGAATATTTCCGGAAAAATCCTGGTGGCAGATTGTTCTTCCTCCCAAATTGGGGAATTCGGGTCTTGGGATTGAGAATATTTCCATTGGAGAATCTAGATATTATCGAATTGATATCTCCTACCTGATTGCTTCTCATTTCATTCAGGATGTTCGACAATTCTTACTTCCCCCTCTGCCGTATCATTCGGTTTTGGGATGGGCGGTTGCGGTTGAAAGATTATAAGCTTTGCTCCCGAGTTGATAGACGGATTTTCAGAATTCCCAGGCTAAATTTCGACAGAAGGAAATGGCATCCCAGGCCTAAGATGCATCTCATCGAGATTTCCAAGGCATCTTAACTCTCCAGGACCAATTACGTCTTCGATATTATATGGGATGCTGGGCTGATAGATCGATGCATTGCGCGCCCAACCATATATTCGATAATGATCTCTCCAAGATTATATGTTCAGATTCAATATCTATACGATTTGATTTGCCCTTATTTGATGCAGATGAGGTTTGCTTGCGATATCTTCAAATTTCGGATCGATATGATCGCCACTATTTGATATAAATCATGATTGGGAAAATGGGGATGCACAATTATCTCCGTGATGAGGTTTGTCGTTTTTGGTCTCGAAGAGGATTTGGATTGAAAATAGAGTCCTTGGGATTTCTGCTCGATGAATCCAATAGGAGCCCCGCTGATCTTCTTACGATTGTTTCCGTATTATGCCGTCAATCATCATATAATTTTCTTCCGCGGATTATAATTGATTCTTGATTTTGCGGTTATCTCCCCATTTCGGATGATAAGAGGACACTTGACATTGGAGGATCATATAATAAAATGACTCAATCAAGCCGCTCATACCAGATATCGCGAGCAAGGGATTGGATTTGAGCCGATTATTTTCGACCACGCAGGGGGCATGAATGAGGAGGATAAGGGATTCTAGATTCGTTGCGCGAGGCGGTTGATGATCCAAATTGACGTCCAGCCGGACATATGCGATATATATTATAGGAACGAATCTCCATTGCCCTCCAGAGCTATACCAATCATTACCTCATATATAGACGAATAGATTCTCAAGGAAATCTCCGTTCTTTGCCTCCTGGGATGCCCTTTTGCTTGAATCTCCTCCCAGAGAGTTCTCTCCCTGAGCAGCGATTGGTTCATCAAGTTGTCCCTCAATATAGGTCCGAAACGATAGATGACGAATTAATTTTAGGAAGCTCTTTTGGACGGAGATCTCACTGAGATTTTATTCGTGTATGATTTCCGTTTCTGTTTTTGTTGCCGCGGGATATTAGGTCCCCAAACTTTCGGCAGGGGGCGGCGGGCGTTAATATATAGAATTTTGATATGCGCATCTAATCTCGTGCGTCCTTTCTCTTTCAACGATAATACGAATTTTTCCTTATTTTCTTTCGCCTATGTATCTTCCAAATAGCAGATACGTATTTTGCTTTAGATTAGCAAAATAATTCCAATAAGATCATTATTCATATATTGAAATTCAACGATTCGAGAGAACGTATAAATGCCCGTAAAGCTAAATAATCAATATAAGAATTCTGAAAGGAGCGAAAGACGATCTAGATATAGAATCTAAATAGTTTTCCAAATAATCGCGCAAGCGACCAAAACGAGAGAAATAATTCGTTATCTCGTGACATTTTTTAGAATACAGCCCCCGTATCCAGAACGACTTTGCCGCCTCAATAAATATAATCAAGCTATATATTCTGAAAATTATAGTTATATCTCGTGTCTATACACTCCGCCGAGCATAATTACACCCTAGAATTTTATATTCTCCCGAGCCGCTGCGCAAATACCCAAAGAGAGAGAAATCATTCCAAATCTCGAGAGATTTGTAATCGCGCGGTTCCCGGATCCGGCACGATCTTTCCGCCCTATTTATCTCTCTTGGATTATCGGCGCGATAGCTCGGGAGAGCGCATAAATCCCTTCGAATAGGGACTACTATCTCAGAAATTATAAAAGATTTTAGTTTTCCGTCCCGGGTCTATACGCTCCGCCGCGCGACCAAAAATCTCCGAGATTTTTGGTCGCGCGCTCGCACCAAAAAACCCGGAGATTTTAGAGCCTCTAGCTTTTCCGAAGGGCTCCAAAATCTCGGAGATTGTAGAGCCCCTAGCGAGCTCGCAGGAGGCGTTTTAATGGTGAGCCGGAAAAGCTAGGCCGCGCACGAGCGAAATGGCCTCAAGTGGCCGCGCCGTAATATTGAGGCATATATTATGCAGGTATTCTTGTAATTTCATCTATCATGATTTGAAGACGGTAAAAAACCTTGCTCAAATCTCTCAGCCAGAAATATGGTAGTTATGGAGTTGCGGGTGCGTAATATGGAGCATCATTTATTAAGGTGCAGGATTTCTTTTTTTCTGCTGCGTGCAGGCAGCGTACCCCTTGTTCCTGCTGCTTTGGCAGGGCGGCTTCCAGGTTGCTGGCCCTGAGGATTGGGGTTTGGGGTTTAGGGTTTAGGACGAAACAGAGGCGGGGAGTTTCCAGCGCGGGGAGTTTACAAACAATGTTAATGTAAGGGGTGCATGAGGACCAGAGGATGTAATTCCCCTCCTGTAATTGCCTTAGACTTTGCCACTGTAACCCAGGCAGGAGCATTACGATGATAATCGTGATAATACTCATTTAGCAATAATACTAAACTAATAGCCAGAATGATCGTAATAGTAGCAGCAGTCGGAATGATAGCAATGGTAACAAGATACTGATCATCATCATATCATCATCATCATCATCATCAACCTGTTGCAGATCATAATGGATGCCTCCGTCGAGCTTTGCTTGCTCGCCTCGTCCATCATCCTGACACCAAGAGTGGCATGGAAGTCATATGAGCCATAGTCTAAACTCCTAGTGTCCACCTTCCTGATCCCTATAGGAGTCCCCTATATAACCACCTATACATCCCCCTTTAAGGAGTTTAGACTATGGTTCATATGAAATCTAAATGCCATTGGCACTCCGAGGAAGCGGCGCTGTGTAGAATCCCATATCAGGCCTATGCAATGCAGCTAGCACCAAGAACACCCACTTCTTGACAACGCACTCGCAACCACCAGGACAGCCGGAGCCTACATCCACTTGACTGCAATCTTTGCAGCCATTCCTTTGCCCTTGGCCAGTAGGACGAGTTCTGGTACGTTTGTGCAGCTTACTCACTTGGCGCTACTGAGCCTGCAACTTGTGAGGCTTGTCTTGAAGACAGCTGCCACGAATCAGCGCCTTGTAGGATATTTCATCAGGCCTTGCACATGACAAGCTTCATCCTTTTCCTGCTACTTGTGGGCATGAAGTTGCACGAAAGCCGTGCTGACCCATGGTGGGGAGACGTAGCTCTGCTGCGTTCAGTGCGTTGTAAGCTGTGGACTGAAGCCTTTGGATGGCAAGCTCATCGAACCATTGCCTGGAACGAAGGAGCGAGAAGGGCTTGGGAGCAACTTGCCAAAAATCGTCGCAGACACACTCGAGTGTGATGCTGCAACTGACATACAAATCTTTTAGACAGAGCTTGCTGCAACGTCACTGTTCCATCCGAAAATGAGTGCGGGGCTCTGCAAGTCTCACGTCCCCGTGCCTCTGGACAACAGATCCACATCCAGGCAGCTCAAAAGTGTAACGACAGCTGCTGCTGCGGCCATTGCTGCTACTTCAACTTCTACAACCACACCAGCAAGCACCAGCACCAGCACCAGCACCAGCACTACCAGCACCAGCACCAGCACTACCAGACCACCAGCACCGGCACCGGCACCGGCACCGGCAACAGCAGCGGCACCAGCAGCACCAGCACTAGCACCAGCGCCAGCACCAGCACCACCACCACCAGCACCACCACCACCAGCACCACCACCTCCATCCTCATCACCACCACCACCGCCGCCGCCACCGCCGCTAGCGCCACTACAGTAGCAGACAGGTTGGCGCCTAGCAGAAGCAGAGATGAGAGCGTTGTAGGTGGCAACGGTGGGATGCACTCGTTCTCGCGCCTGGTGCGACAACATGGGCTAAGGACATTAGGAGATGCGGTGTCTTAAGCCTTCTTGTTTTGACTGCTGGTGCGTCTGAGACTACCATTACAAGTGATTGTTATTGCTCTTTCTGTCACTCTGCCTGTCGCTACGAGAAACACGAGTGTCAGCATCATGGCAGTACAAGCGTCATTGGATTTTTCCTCTGCTGAAAAAGCCAAAGATCACGATATGACGCGAAACTTAAGTTAAATGCCCCTGTCGCAGCAGGATTCAGATTGCAAAATGCTGGGAGGCGCACCATGCGATGCAGCCAATCGTTTGCAGCTCCATGAGCAGAGCTTCCTAATCGAAGGCTGTCTTTCCATCTCTGACTCCAAGATAAGACATGCTGACCCTGCAGGTGGATTGACAGACAGTGAGACCGGGGTCACGGGCCTGAATGTAACCGTTACGACGACGCTCTTTAAACATCCGGACTCGTAAACAAACGAACAGGTATATTATACTACTTCCGCAAAGCATGACGTCCGGCCGCCCAAGATTAACACATCCGGAATTGAGTCTAAACAGGAAAACATCCGGATTTAAATAGATCTTTTATACTACTCCATGGCACGTTGGGGTTGGCCGCCCTCCACTTATTTAAAAAATGTCACCGTATGTTTCGGTGCCACAAGGACCCACTCTGGGACACCCACTTGCAAAGCCGTGAATCACGTCAGTGAAGATGACGGCGTCGGGTGTCAGGCGCGCCCGCTTCAGCTCACCAAACCACTCAGCCTCACCGCCAACTTACCCTTTTGGTCTCCCGGCACGGTGACCCATGACTTTCAGAAAACCGTAGTAGCAAAGCCAACGCACTCTGGATTGGTAAATCCCCCAAAACAGGGAGTCCCCAATATAGAGCCCAAAATACTGCAATCCTTATTATTGGGACCCCTAAACTGATACCCCTAACTTTGGGGAACCCCGTTTCCTGAGCTGCAGGCCGCTTCTTGCTCCTTGCCCTGTGCCGCGGCACCGCTGATGAGGTGGTGATAGGACACCATGTCGGGTAAAGACGGCGGGGTGGCCTCCAGCAGTTTGCAAGCGACTCATTCCTGGCATCTGTCGTTATCGTTGAAGAGCTAAGTACGAAAAGTACTAATCTCATCACTTTAATGGAAGAACTGCTTGCTGCCTACTATTTAGTCAAACAGTGAGCAGATCATGCACACAGCGGACAGGTCTTGCGGAAACCAGCTTGTTTCCATTTCCTGCGGGCCGATGTCACTCAGTGGAAAACCAGAACCTAGTTTGAGTTGCGCCTCTGTAGGGAAAGAGCGGCTCTGTACCAGACGTGTTGTTCACGCGCCATGTGTCAGTCACTAAGGCCGCTGCTACCGTCAGCCAGAGGCATGTGGGCAGGAGCAGCTGCCCAGCAAAGGGTTCTACCTGATAATATGCATAGCTTGCGGCCAGTGCAGATGCCCAAACGCAAAGAACACCTGGCACCGCGGCACCTAATCGCCGCTCCACGTTGTTCACAGTATTCCACGTGTCCCCAACGCACAGGTGAAGCATAAGCACCAAGATCGTAGCATCGCACAGGTGTCCAGCCTGCTGCCAGATCATCATGGAAGATGCTGCACGAAGGGGTGCCACAATGAGTATCCACATGATGGGAAAGAAGAAGCCTGGAGGCGTCCAACTGGGCATGGTTCGATCATTGAAGCCTCCTGTGGCCTGCCCCTGGCTAGCCTTCTGAATGTCAGGTCGGGAGTTGTCCAAGGGCGAAAAGATTCTCGAGCGCAAGCTCATGCCAAAGAAAAGGGCAAAGACTGCCCAGTCAGGCAGCTCGACGCCCGAAGACTTCACAGCCGAATCAATGGCTGCGAAAAAGGTTGTAATTCCCAGCAGCTGGACCGCGATGGACAGAGCATACTTCCCCACTGCATCTGTGTCCAGCTCCTTGCCAGCAGCCTTCCTCGGTATGCGCGAGGTCCGCAAAGTCTGGGGAGCTTGTGGCGCCGGAGAGCTGCCGGCCATTTGATGCCTGGCCTTGCAAGGATGTGGCAACGCCGGCGAAATCCAGGATTGCCCAAGGGCTCCCGCTGCCAAACACACTGCCAATGCCGGGACAAATGGCTTGCGCGATCGCTTCGCGCGTCGTTGGTTCACATTGCGGGAGCAGGCCGACATGGCCAATAAGAAAACTATAGACGGGCGCCTTCGAAGCCGACAACTTGAGGCATGGCGAATATGCAGGATTTAATACGACGAGTGTACAACCCCTCTCAACGTGAAGGAAAACTTCATATCAAAATCCAAGAGCCAGGGAACAGAATCCTGGCGCAAACGAGTCAACTATGTCCAGTCCTTCATCAGCGTCAGCCAGGAGTATGCCTGGACAGCAAAGTCGAACACCATCTGATTACTTGTTGACTCTGGGGGTCTCTTGTCTTTCAAGGGAACACCCGGGGCCCAGGGGATACATTGGAAGTAGAAGGGGATTCTGAATAAATTCTTTTGGACTTTGTATAAAACGTTTTGAGAAATCCTAAATTGCATCCGGCTACATGAGCTATAGTCTAAACTCCTAGTATCCCCATTAATAATCCCTATAGTAGTTCCCTATATAATCCCCTATATAACCCCTCTAAGGAGTTTAGACTATGGCTCATATAACCAGGAAGAGGGACCTTCTCAAGCTCTCCTTGCTCTGCGGATCGGCCGATGAGCTGGTTGTAGTGAGTCCTGCACCAGCCCTACATGGGTATTGGTCTAAATTCCCTATAATACGGGGTCCTATATTTGGGTTCCCATTATGATACGGGGCCCTATATAAATTTCCCCCATTTTGGGAAGAGTAATTTAGGGAAACTACCACATGGGAGATTCTCAAATTGGTGCACAAAGCAGAACTAAGGATTCAGGAGTCCCCTACTGAAAATTGTATAGAGGTTGTTTTGAGCAACTCCTAGCCTTCCTCCGGGGCCCTTGCAGAGTCATATTGTTAAGAGGTTTAGGGTTTAGGGTTTAGGGCTACAAGGGTTTCCGGCTGTTCAGACATGTAGAGTACCTCGTGTAGGGATGACATCGGGAAGTCAAGGTTTCAAAGTACTTGCCTCAGAGGTCATTACGGCTCTTGTAGGAGCAGCAGTACTGCTTGCCCAGCTTGCGAGAAATGTTGTAGGGTTCCCCACAGATTTTGATAAGACTCGTGCGGATCAATAACATTTGCACAACGCCATGCACTATAGCAGTGTTGATACTAAAAATCTTGCATGACCTTACTAGACCATAGTACCATAATTCCCAAGGTTAAGGTACTTTCACTTAGGGTCATGCAGGATTTTTAGTATACACCGTGGGAGGAAGGTGTTCATATCGGGGAAGACGGAGCGGCAAGCGCAGCACGCCAACACGCAACACAACTCTGCAACAGGCACCAAGACACGCTCAACATCTGTGGAACGACAGCATGCACCGCCAGTCAGTTCACCCTGGCGATAATGCTGGAAATCTAACATCAGGATCTTTTAGGGGAAACATGCGAGGATCCCTGATTTTCAGAAAGAGCCACATCATTCAAGATACTGAGAATTGATACGGCCATGGCCTACAACCGAGCTCTCTGGTGAGGTGGCAGGCACTAGCCAAATGTCCTCATGGGGGTGAGGTCACTGATGATCATTTGCTTCAGCCAGTACGTCGCCTTGCTATGCACCAGGTCAGCGCAAACAATCAGCCAGCTTCTATTGTCTCCCTTAAGCAGATATAACATGGTGTTGGCCTATCTTGATCTCCATATATCTCGTATCCTATCTACGTAAGGGGGCCTGTAGCTGTAGAAGCACCTGCCTGCTCCCAGTCATTGGCACCCAGATGAGCGGAAACGACTGCGTTGAAAGCCACCTTTGTGCGCTGCAACGTCCAGTACGGTTTTGCAAATCTCCGGACCCTCAAGCAGAACTTTCACTCAAAGTAGTGTTCACTCACTTGAGTTCCATGGATCTCTATTTACTGCATGTGGAGCTGGTGATTCCCATGTGTTTTGGGAACCCTAAACCGTATATCCCCCTATAGAACCCCTACATCCCGATATCCCCCGATAGAACCCCTACATCTCTATATCCCCCTATAGAACCCCTATATCCCAATATAAACCCCTATAACCCCAAACCCTAGACCCTAAACCCTAAACCCTAAACCCTAAACCCTAACCCTGAACCCTATAGCCCCCCCATGGGTAAGTGCAAGTCATCGAGCTCGGTTGCCTCATCGGCTTTCAGCTTGGACGCTCGCATCCTCAGGCCGGAGACGATGCAAAGGATGCTCATAAACTTAGGGTTTAGGGTTTAGGGTTTAGGGTTTAGGGTCCTAAACCCTAGGTATAGTCCACCTTAAGTAGATAGAATGTGGGGATTATATGAGGGTATGTAGAGATTCTATAAGGATTATACGGGGGTTAGCTAGGATATGGGGTATATGGGGATCTCATAATGGTTTGGGGCAAAGCCAGATTCTATCTACTTCATGGCGACTATACACCCTGTAGGGCCGAAACAAGGGAAACGAACGGAGAGGCCCGTAACCTAAACCCTACTAGAATGAGATCTCAAATTCGTCGATCTACAAAGTCAGGGACATCACGTCACGTCTGCGGGATACCTCATAAGCTCAAGCAGACAGCTCTTCTGGGTTGCTTGGAACATCTAATAACTGAAATCACGTTACCATAACAAAGATATGGCAAACCATAGGGTCTCCTTAACCCTAGAGTCTCCCTCAAGTAGAATACCGGGGTTTCCTTTTTTCTACAACCCCGTTGACTCTTTTCGTGTCTAGCATACGGGGTTTAGGGATTAGGGTTTAGGGTATAGTCCACCTTAAGGAGGTAGAAATGGTCTAAACCCTAAACCCTGAAACCCTAAAACGTGAAACCCTAAAGCCTAACCCCTGAAACCCTAAATCCTAAATATAGGTAGAATCTGGTTCCCTAAGATCAACCCAGTCGTTCTTGGGAAAGGCAGATGCGCCTCTGCAGCCAGGCTGATGCCACAGCGGGTTCCCCTGCCTTGGCAAGGCCACCTGGCTGCAACGCAAAACGATACACCTCTATATAGACCTCAGTTACCATTTCCTTTTTCCATTTGAGCTTCCATTCCCAGACCTTAAAGTCCAATTTAGGGTCCCTAAACCCCAAAACCCTGAACCCTAAATAATATATAGTGGTTTCCATTTTCTTTTCCATTCTCCTACTATAACCCCAACTTCAGAGATGTAGGCTATACTTATTGGTCGTTTCGGTGGAAAGGAGGAATGGATCCCTGTAGTCCCATATATCATGTCCAGAAAGAAAACAGTCTCCGGCAAGGAAAGGAGCGTAACATGCCTCAACTGAGAAAGCAAGCAAGTTTCTTCTGAAGCCCCTCTTTTTTTCACCAGAGCGTTCCAGCGTTCGGTCTCACGCACCGCACGGCTTTGTGCGATCATGTGACCAAAGATGCATTGGCCTCAGTTTCCGCGCTGGTGGTCATGCCGAACCCGCCACCCTAAACGCTAGTTTTGCAAGAGGAGATGCACCCAAGCTGCTGTCATCTGCCCCGCTTCAAGGATTTTTGGAATCTTCTTGCCTCTTCCTCGGACATAACTTTGCCCTCCATTGTGCTGGGCGTAAAGACCTCAGAGAAGAACATCAGGCAGAGCTCAAAATACAGAACACCCAGTTGCAACAGCAAGTTTAAGCCGCCAACTTTTTCCGAAGCCTGTCAAGGATCATACCCCCTATAAAGCAGAAACCCCATTCAAAGAGACGGCAACCGCGTGAGTTCCTCAGGCAGCGCCGGTGTAACAACCCTTTATCCTTGTATATCCAGAGGGTCCTTCTGGGTTCCTTTCCTTCAGGATGAGTTCTTCAATGGGCTCCACTAGGGTCCTTCTATCAATTAAGGACTTTTCGGACGACCTCATACTGGACCTACTTGTGTGAGATAGCAACGTACAGCGCAGACCGTCTTGCTGTAGGGATAACATAGGGAAGCGCCGATAGCTACAGGACCAATAGCCTGCCTAATGACTAGTGCTCATGCCACTGTGCAGCTCATCTCGCAGAACATTATCGTAAATTATGGCATAATATAGTATATTACGGTCTATTCTGATATATTCCACAATGTTATACTATAGCATATTATGGTCGACATTCCGATCCCTGTAGGCCTGCTTCTTGGCTTGTAGCTTTTCAGCCTGTGGAGTCACTACTCATTCGATTTCTCCGGACGAGGGTGCCTGGGAAATCCTGAAGATGTCCTGGCCTGAGGATATAGATATAGGGGTGTGTAGGGAGATTGGAACCCAAAGAGGCAGTGCTCATGTGAAGACCGGCAACACGCCTCACGTTTCTCGCGATCTTTTCGCTTTTCGAGTATGCGGGCCGTTTCCTCGACAGGCTTAGGCTTGGGCTTTGGCGTGCTCCAAACAACATGAGCTATATTCTGAACTCCTTAAAGGGGGCGATATGAGATTTTACAGGAGAGTATTACAAGGGTTATTAAGGGGGATACAAGGAGTTCAGATTATAGCGCACATGGTGACCTTCAAAAGCAAGCAGACCCCAACCTCTTTCTTGATGACATGCCTCGCTTGAGGCTGTCCTGGTCATGCATGTGAAGATCAAGGCAGCCAGCGTGGGAATTTCTCAAAGACTTCTAACACAAAAACTCAACAGCCTTGGGAGTTCCGCACGATCACAAAGCTGACCTGCACATCCAGAACAACAGCCACAAGGGGAATCGAGATATGTTTCTTTCCCAGAACTACGGGTACCTTTTTGGGGGCCAATAATAAGGATTACAATACTTTGGGGGTCTATACCCTAAATTAAACCCTAAACCCCTAAACCCCTAACCCATAAACCCCAAAACCCAGAGGTCCCCCTGTTTAGGGAAAGTACCATAGCCTAAGCACGCCACAGGCCTCGTCTCCCTTGGACAAGCCAAACATCTGACGCCTGGTTCAGGCTTCAGGGTTATAGCCTGCAGGTTCCCATAGGCTTGCGAATTTTCTTCCCAACCCTAAACCCCAAACCCTACTAAACCCTAAACCCTAAACCCTAACCGAGGGCCCAGCCTGTGAATGAAGACGTCCATTCCATATCTCCACTTCGCATCTTCACACTCGATGAAGCCGAAGCCCTT